CAAAAAACAAACCCCCCAAAACAAATCAAGCACCACAAAATAGAAGAGAAAATATCAGAGTGCATCGCATACAGTAAGCGTAAGCTTAGTTTCATGAACATATAAACATTTCTTTTGCTTCTATTATCTTTTACATAGGTCATGCTTCCCAAAGTCTTAAAACCGTAGGATGAGGCACACTCCTTAGTCTAACTCTAACCATAACAATTGCACATAATAGTTAAGCACCAAGTATGTACCAGAAACTGGGCTAATTGTTTTTCTAAATAATGATCTTTGATTCTTATAGGTATTGACATTCTGATTAAATGTATGAAAAAAGTGAGGCTCAGTGAGATTAAGTGATTTGCCAAATGTTTTATAGTCCACCAGGTTGCCATAATAAAATACCATAACTGGGTGGCTTAAGCAAGGAATTTATTTCTAATACTCAAGTTTCAGATAGAGCTGGGGTCCAGCTCTGGGACTTTGGGCAAAGGGCTTTCCACTCCGTAGAATGGGGCTCTAACAGAGCTGCTCACAGCGTTGAGGTGCTGGGACGGTAAATGGGATGATGCAAGTGGAAAGACAAGCACAGAGGAAGCCTACAACAGTGAGCCGTGACAGCCGAACTCTCTCCACTGATGTATTCCAGCGCCCAGGACAGTGCTGGCACTTAGTACGCGCTTAGTAAACATTGCAGAAAGGACTTTTAAATCGTCATTATTAGTGACCAGAACACCTGGTTGTCAGCGCTAGCTCTGCTTATCACCACGATGGTACCCTGGGCAAGTTCTGAACTGGGTGAGCCTGCTCCCTGCCTGTGAAATGAGGAGAATAGAGACCCCGACTGTCAGGGTTGATGTGAGCATCACATGAGACAGCCATGGGAGGTCTTTTCCAGCAGAGCCTCACAAATGCTGGGCATCAGCCACGGAAGAAAACCCAGGGCTTCCTAGCCTCTCAGTGCTGGATTTTCATAGAGTGGGCAAGGTGATATTCGGCAAATGAACACTGTGCTGGGGGAGAAAGGCAGTTGGAGGGCTCACCCCTATCATAGGAGCCGGGAGAACTGGCCTCTACTGTTCAGGCTCACATACATCTGTGCAGAGGCGGTGGTGGGCAGGGTGCCGGTGAACAGTGGAGGGGCGCTATCTGTGACCCTCCCTGTTGAGGTGCATTATGATTATACGAAGAAGATGGAAGGGTGGGAACCACGTGGGGCTAGGGCAGCACCCGCCGATGTAGAAGCTGGCATTGCTATGTGTCTTAGAGGGGCTCAGTGGGGAGGACCAGCAGCTGGACTCTGGGAGGGAGCCTTCTCCTGTGGGAGGGATGTAGGGTTTTCATGGACAAGGCCCATCCTGGGGAATTCTTGTAAAGCCCCAGGGACTTTGTGTGTCAGCAGTTTGCCCATATCTACTTCTGAGAAGATCACAGCAGATCCAGGGCACAGATGCCAGGAACCCAGGACAGGAGATTGAGGCCTGGACATTCAGAAACCGACCATCCCCCAGAAGGAAAATGAGACTTGGCTGAATGAGTCCCTGGGAAGCTGGTCCATGTCCACCCAGGTCCCAGGCAGGGGTATTTTTGACTCGAAGCAGGGAGAGCTGTATGGGGGAAGCTGCCCTCACTGGTAGCTGCCCTGGAAACATGCCTGCTACCCATCTGCCTGAGCTCCACCCACACGTCCTTCTTCTCACCAGTCCCAAAGGAGTGAAACACCAACAGGCAGACTCTGAGTCCCTATGGCTGGAGGGACCCTGAGGATGGTCACTGCATTTACTGCCTGTTCCCGCCTATAGGAACCCAGCACAGGCAGGACGTTGGCTGAGCACCTCACAATAGGTCTTGGGCCCCTTAAGCTACAGCCCTCCCTTCTCTTCGTGCCCAGTGGTGTTGTCTACACTGAGTGTCCACCTTCTTGACCTCCGCCTGAGAGTGTTCTTACCACTCTCCTGAGTGTGTTGTCACCAGTCACCAATAAACTCTGTGTGGTCAAACCCATTAGCTACTTTCTAGGTCTTAAAATGCTTGATGTGTCACTTTTCTTTAACATAGTTGACCCTCCCTGATCTCCAGCTTCTGACACCCTTTCTCCTGGTTTTCTTCTCACCTCTCAGACTGCTCCTCCTCCAGCTCCTCTAGTTCTGGCTTACATGGGCTCTCCTGGTTTTAGTGCCATAAGTCCCACAGCTGGGAGCCCCTCAGTTCAGGGCAAATGGGGATCATTGCCAACCCTAGACTCACCCCACCTAGTTGGGATGCTCCATGTCTCACTCTTACTTCTGCTGTCTTCTCAGAATCCATGCTCTCCCAGGGGCTGCTCACTCGTTTCCATGGCTGCAACCACTTTCTGGGTGGGGATGATCCCCATCTGAGATCCAGAGTCGTGAGCTAACTGCCCAATGAGCATCTCTGTTCAGATGTCCCCTGGCAACTCAAACTCACCAAGCCTACATCTGACCTGCCATTTGGTCTCTATTGCAAGGAAGAGCTTCACTATCAACCCAAGAGTTATAAATATCTATAATATAACCCATTTTCTAAACATCTCTTGCCTCTTAACCCCATCCAATTAATGACCTCATCTTGTCATTGTCCCTTGACTCTCTTCAGGTGTTCCTATCCCACCATGACTCCCATAGTGCAGGTTACCCACCACCTCTTGTCCTCATCAGGACAAAGTCTAGAGGGAATGTCAACAATGGTCATTCCTGGGATGATGAGTATTATGGGTTGATTTGTGTCCCTCCAAAATTTGTTGAAGTCCTAACCCTACTATCTATGAATGTGGCCTTTGGAAATAGAAAGTTGGCAGAATTATGATGAAGACATTAGGGTGGTCCTAATGAAGAAGACAATGCCATGTGAAGACAAAGACACAGGAACAACATGTGAAAACAGAGCAGAGATAAGAAGAGTGATGTAGCTGCAAGTCAAGGAGTACTAAGGAACACCAAGGACTGCCAGCCACCACCAGAAGCCAGGAAGAGGCAAGGAGACATTCTACCCAGTGTCTCGGAGGGAGCACAGCCCTGCTGACATCTTGATTTTGGACTTCTGGCCTCCAGAGCTGTGAGAGTGTAAATTTCTGTTGTTTAAAGTCACCTGGCTTATGGTACTTCATTATGAAAGCCCTAGCATAGTGAGATATAGACAATTTTAATTTTCTTATTTATACTTTTCAGTATTTTAGAGATTATTTGTATGGGATACATAAGACTTTTATGATCAGGAAAAACATACTTATTCTTTAAAAATAATTCTCATTCATCAAGAATCCTAACCCCTCTATTGGATTTATCTCTGAGAATTGAACCTATCTGCACCCACACAGCTTACTGATCACATCAACATGGCTCTATTATTCCACCGTTTTCATCAACACAACTTCACTATTCCAGGAAACACTTGCCTAGGAAGATAAAAGTTGCAAATAAAATAAGTTTATTCCAGGAACTTTTCAAAATAAACCATTTAAACAAAGATCAAGTTGTTTGACTTTTAAAGAGCATCAAATGACTGTCTACTCTCCAAGACTTCCAGAACCCTTGCCTTGCTGTATCCACCAATCCTAAACCAGTGATCCTTCCCAATCTTAACCAATTTTAGTAATCTTAATGGAAGAACCTAAAAATGGAGACATATCCCATCTCTGCCTTTGCATTTCTGAGATTTTCTAGGACTTTGTCAAGGGGATGTACCCCTTCCCATGTGAGCAGGCATCTCAGCTCTGCCTTATCGGCTGGTTGGTTTGGTAGAGTTTTCAGGCCTTCTATACCTAATATATCTGAAATATTGAGTTTATCAAATGCCTTCTATGTGCAGAGACTGAGCTAAGTACTTAATACATACCATTTCAGGGTATCTGCTAAATGAACTATTAAAAGATAAACTGAGGCATATTAAACTTTTTGAGTTTATTTGAGCAAAAATAAATTCAAATCAGGCAGCAGATAGAAAGGAGCTCCAAGTCTATAAGATGAAAGACTATAGGCAGAAGGGAGACAGAACAAGGAAGTTATACCAGACAAAAACGCAGGTTAGTCATTTCAAGGTTACTTTCTCTGAGGGGATGGCAGGGGTCCATCAGGAAGATTATTTAACTAGTGCTGATCAGGTGGTTTCTGGTTGACTGGTTTAAGATTCCATTTCTGGGAGGACCAGCACTGTAATTAAGTCTCAGTTTGGTGATGTGGAGCTTAGCGTAAGTGACTTCATTTTGGAATTGTTGTCTTGATTTTGACAAATGCTAAAAGGTTAGAAAGGATCCCTGTTTTGTAGCTGGGGAGTCTCAGGCAACGTAAGTGGCATGCTTAAGGCCACACCATTAGTAACAGGGGAGCCTAGGTCCGTCTGATGGCAAAGCCTGAACTCTGAGAACTCTGCCTCTACAAATTTAGTGAAACTGTAACACAAAAGGTATCTATTCCATGCCTGACTATTTTGGGGAACTAACAGTACTCTGCTTCTGACTTTCCTGATAATTGCTTCAAGTGGACAGACTCCCCTCCTAGAAGACCTCACTGGTGGGTTTCCTGAGAGGAGTCGCTATAGAGACCATTCCCATCTCACACAGAGGCAGCCCCTGGCCCCCAGGACTTCTGTTTCTCTGCTCAGGCCCGAGATTGTGAGCCACGGAAGGCAAATGGGCTTTGATGGAAAACAGGCAATTATTTCAGGCAGTCACATTTCCCACAAGGCACTAGTACAAGCTAGCAGGGAAGAAAGAGCTGGACCCTTTGTACAGCCAGCAGGAACACAAAGCTCATTGTTATGTTTATGCTTCCTTTATTCAGATGGCATGTGGTACAGACTCCATGCCAACCTGCAGACCGGATTCTTTCTTCCCCCTCAGTAGCAAATGTACATATTTGCTTTCAAGTAGGCAGAATTTGCCCATGGGTGGTCTTTGATTTGGAGGAAATCAACCCCAGAGTGGTGACTCACACACAAAAAAGGTAGCTTAAGTCATTCGGTGCCAGGAGGGGTATGTGTGTGCAGAATTCACTTACCCAGAAGAAGAAGTTGAAGATAAAGAGTAAATACTTCAGGTAGACAACCAGCCAGTCATCCTGCTCAGCCTTGTAATGGGCCATGGTAGCTGGGCCTGCAAAGAAGACACACGTGCTGGGCTGGGGGTGCACAGGGAACCATCTTGTCCTTCCCAGAGCCAGAGTTCCTTGCCAAGGTGCCCCTCAAAGGGCTGACTAGCCTGTCTGGTCAGGGGTGTCTGAGGCTGTGGGTGTTAGATCCGGAGCAAAGAGCAGGCAAATGCAAAAGCTACTGACATATGGAGGTGAGTTGGGTAGAATTGTCAAGATTTTGGTTTTGTCCTTTTGACACAGGTCCAATCTATGAGTCTTCCTAAAGACTTTGCGCTGGCCTTGTTGTGTTCTTATTCTCTCCCCTGTCTCACCAGGTTTGCAGGACACAAGCTTACTTGTCACACACACACACACACACACACACACACACACACACACACACAGCCTATACCTGCTTTGCATCAGAATCCTGCACTCTGCATCATTTGAGTAGGACCTCTGCATGCATGGGTGAGGCATGAGCCCCAAATTACAGCATCTGTGCTGGAAAGGACTTTAATAATTATCCAGTCCACTCCATCTTCCCCTGACAATTACCCAGTCCACCCCATCGGCCCCTGCACCTTGACTTTCCAAATGAGGAAGCAGGTGGGCAGGCTTAGTGTTTTGGCAGTAAGAGTACAAGGGCTCTGGAGTCTGACTCCCTGAGATCACACCTGCGTCTGCCATGAGGTGTGAGACTTTGGATAACTCCCATTCCTCGGTGTCCTCATCTGTAAATGGGGATAGTAATGATACCTACATTGCAGGGTTGTTTTGAAGATTAAGTGGGATAATCTATGAGAGGAGTTTAGCATATCTGTTAGCTATTATTATTACACATAGCAGGGATCAGAGCCCAGGACTCCAGCACTGAAATTCCTAGTCTTTGCCCCGGAACCATGCTTCCTCTCCTTGCCCTGATGCCCACTGATGGACTCTCTGGAAGGTGTGACGTCAACTGGTGACAAAGGTGGAGAAGATTCATTGTTCCCGGGAATCCCGTTTGCTTCTCAGTAAGTCTGAACCACAGCCTGAGTGGTTTCCTCTTCTCCTCGGGCCCCTGCCCCCAGCACCTGCACACCCATGCTCACACCCACAGAGAAGTGCCCCCTTAGGAAGCCATCTCCCTTTAGGGAACCTCTTTTATTCTAGAACCAACGGGCATGGGTTTGGCCCATTCCCATCTCTTGCCCCTCATTCCCCACCTCCATCGGGCCCTCCTTGCCACCACCCTGTTCCTGCTCCTTGGCTGGTGCTGGCTAAGCCTAGATCACTTCCTCCTGAGCCAGTGCTCTGCCTCTTATCTCAAGCTCTGGGGCTCCTGGGACAGGGAGAGCGGAAGGGAGAAACGAAAAGGTGGCTGTCTTATTTGGCCTTTCTATTTGCAGACCTTGAAGAGGTAATTTAAGACTTTTAGTCTTCTTGTTAAAAAAAGACAAAACCCATTTTTCTCTAATTTAATCTGAGATGCAAGCTGGTGGAAAAAAAACACAAAAGGAGAAAAAAGAAGCCTATAAAAAAGTTAAAAAAAAATGGTGATAGATGGGGTCAGCCAGGCGACTGGAATGGGAGCTATTATAAGGTCCTTCTGCAGAGGCCTGGCACAGCTCCTCTGGGCCGCTGAGGCCATTAGTGAAGCGACTATTTGGGGCCCAGCCTCTTCCCTTTGCATTCTCCCCTCCATTTGCCTGCCTCTCCCCTCCAACCAGGGCCCACTGGGCTCATGCCACGGAGCATTCTCTAGACCTGCAAGCCAAGGGGTCAGGGCCCGCTCAAGGAAAATTGTATTTTTTGAAAAGGAGTTCAAACAAGATGTAACACAAAGAAACACATTTCTAATAGTAAAACCCCAGCCATTAGTGGTAGAGAAGATAGAACCACAGAGTGTCAGGGCGAGGGGAAACCGCCGGGGCTCACTTTACTTCAGCCTCTGCCGAAGGAACGAGAAGTAAACACGACTGCGTTAAGACATACATTTTTAAATGACCTCCCTGGAGTCACAGGCTAACGGTTGGTAGCAGTTTCTTATCCCCTTGTTCAGAGCTCTGTCCCCCCTGCGCCTCCTGGTATGCGGGCCCTGTGCTGGGTGGCAGAGGCCCCACAGAAGTGTCAGCATCAGTGCCAGCGTGGAGCCCGGTGCTTGGGTCTGAAAGCTGGCCTTGTCATTTCCCCGAGGTGTGACCTGGGCCAAGGTACTTAATCTCCCAGTGGCCGCACTCTTGGCTTTTCTTGTCATCTCAGCTCTTTAGCTGGTGCCCTTTTTCTTGGTGGGTGTGGGTAATAGTACAACCGTGGGCTTTGGGGGACCTTTAACTGTCTTTTTTTCATTTATAAACACACCATTGGATTCCAGAGAACCAAAAATCGCACCTTCCCATGGACACTGCTAAGGGGCATGCCTGCTACTCCACACCTCTTTTGTTACTCGTTCTCTCTTTAAAGCTTTTAAAAACAAATGAGTATTTATTTTAAATATAAATAACATTTTTAGGTGTGAAAAAAATTATCTGGAGGGCTTGTTAAAACACAGATCACTCAGCCCCAGCCTCAGGGTTTCAGATTCTAGGCTTGGGGTGGGAGCCTGGGAATTCATTCCTAGTCAGGGTCTGAACTGCCCGTCTGATTTGCCCAGGATGGAGGGATTTCTCTGAGTAAGAGACCTTCAACGTTAAGCCTGCATAATCTTGGGCACACTGGGTGGTTGGTCAGCCTACTCCCAAAGGCGGCTGATGCGGGGGGTCTGGGGACCACACTCTGAACCAGTGTTCTTCAAAGCCCTTTCTGCTTCTGCTCGTCCAGGATCCTGCATGTAATTAATTATCCTCTGCCTCTCAGCAGACATAACCGAGTGGGGTAAGCATGGAGCATCACATTTAGGACAGTTCCCGATGAAATGCCAAAGATTTCCCACACAGCCTGGTAATGCAGCCTCAGGGCGCCGGCCCCTCAGGCCAAGGCTCTGATTGCTGAACAAAGCTGGGATTCAGGACAGCCAGCAGGCTGGGGGCTGGGAACAGCAGTTGGGACCCACACCATAGGCCATCTCAGAAAAGCAACTGCAGATGCCTTCATGGTGAAGTGATGGATTTGCGGGACTTTCATCAGGGCCGGTCATGTAGCGTCATGGGCTGTGGGCCTTGGGCATTATCATCTCCTCTGCGGCCCCAACCCCAAGTGAACTGAATGAGCCTCATAGTGCAGAGAGGATGAGGGACATGCAGAAAGAACTCAACTGACTGGCCAGATGTGTTGGTGAGCAGAGCAGGCTGAGTCCTTTCATGGTGATGGGTGGTCCGAGTTGGGGGGTGGGTGGGGCAGGCGGGGAGTGCTTGGGAACTGACTGCATACATTGCACATGAATACAAAGCACTGTTGGCATGTGGGCCAGTCTCATCCTTTACTCATTCAACAAGCATGCACTGAGGCCCCAGCTTGTGCCAGGAGCTGTGCTTAGAAGGTTGGAGTTCATCCTTAAGGAGCTCATAGCAACGTGGTAACACAGAGGAAGTGGCATTAATTCTGCCGGGTTGGGAGGGGGTGGAGGGGCAGAGAGGGGCATTTAATCTGCTCCTTGAGGACAGGCAGAAAAGGAGGGAGGGATGCTCAGGCAGAGGGAATAGTGTGAGAAAAGGTCTGGAGGTATGGCTGGGCCCAGTGGCCTGGGCTGCAGAAAGACCGAAAAATCAGGGTGGGGGTCCAGGGCAATCTTGTTGGCCATGTTAGTTCAGGTTGAGGGTGCCCTGATTCTCCATTCCCTAAGCGGAGACCACCCCTTACCAGGAGAGCTTAGTGATTCTAAAACAAAAGCAAAACCACGCCCCACCCCAGCCCCACTGCTTCAGGTAAAGAAGTGCCAGTTTCCACCTCAGGAAGCCATCATTCAGCAAGAGGCCCTGCTGAGTGATGGTCAAAAACAGCTGGAAAGGAAACAAGCCTAAGTGGTTTAATGTGTAACTTAATTTTCGCTTTTAATGGAACCTGGCTGCAGTCCTGCAAGGTGTGGTTCCTTCCCCATGCAGACAGCCTCGTCCTTCTTTGTCCTGATCTCCCTCTTATTTAATTTCCACTCTTCTGGCCCATTCCTGGTGGGGGATGGTCCATCTGAAACAGCCACAAAAGTGGAGCTTCCTCAGACCCTCCGAATGGGATAGTTGGAAGGAGCCAAAGGATCTCTAGCTTGGCCCCTTGGAGAACTGAGGGAGCCGAGTCCAGGGGCAGGGCCCACGGGGAAGTCTCACTGCCCATTAGCGGCAAGGCAGGGACCTGGTCTCCTGTCACTATAACCACCAACAAGATTTTGATTGGCTAATGTATTATTAATAATAATGATTTATTAAGTGTAACTGGAAACTGAGCTATATCCATTAATTTAATACTTAACTCTTTTAGACCAAACTTAGGGTTTGATTGCTAACTATAGCATCATGTGGATGAGACTGTAGGCAGAACTTGAATTAAAATTCTAGAACTAAGACTTCCAGTCTTTATGCTCTGAGATATGTTTTCCTAAGTACATGACTCTATTTTTCACTTCATTTGTGAGTGCCCACATCATTATCTGGATCAGTCAGGGCTCCCTCATAACCCTAGACAGGTGGTTTGGCTTCTCCTTATTCTCTGTATTTATACATGTACAGAGTCTTGGGAGGCTCTGCCTGGTGATGGGTATCACCCTTCGCTGTTTTTCCTGGGTCCTTGTTTTTAAATTGCAGTCTGACCATGAAATGAGGATCCCCCAGTGTTATGACAAGAATCAGTGAACAAACAAAACATCACTAGGCAGCAGGTTAGAAGATCTGGTTGTGAATACCAGCTGTCACCTACAACAGTGTGTCCCTGGGCAAGTCACGTGACCTCTCAGACTCCAGCTTTCTCTTCTGTGTAAAGGAGCTGATGTTGGTCCAGCTTTGTATCCCTTGTAGGGTGGTTGTGAAGATCAAATGGGATGGAGAATTTGTAAGAACTGTGTGCAATGCAATGTTACAGCTTCAGTGTCACACAGGGTGAAGGGATTATTACCACCAACTCCTTAAGAATGAAGGGC